ATTCAGCTGGTAATAGTGTTTTTTTAACAAATGTTTCTCGACGAATCAGATTCAACTAATTCACATGAAAGTATAATATTATATGAATGGTGTCTGTTTTGGAGAGTGACAGTTGAAATTGACACCCAAGGAAAACTGTATTGTCAATCGACATGTCAGCAGAGGTTGACAAAGGTTTTCTGTGTTGACAAAAGTTTTCCAAGGAGTGTCAATTTCAACAGTAGTGTTACCCTCTAAAACAGGAACCATTCATTTTATTACTCTGAAGATCTTATTGATTTATGATGTCAGCAAAAAAATATATCCAAGATCGCAGTCAACTTCACTTTCAAACTCCTAGCTTCAGTTTTTATCAATAAGAAAACTTCGAAAAATTTACTGACCTCTTTAATTATTTAATTATTGTTTGATATTCAGAAAGCATTTACCATCTAAGTTTATTTCTGCATTCGCAAACATTTTTCATGTCATTTGTTGTTTTCGACCAAGCTTCATTGGACACAAGCTTTGAATGACATCAAGTTTAATTGGCTTCTTCCAAACACACAACTGATGTTTTTAGAATTTTATGGCAAACCGTGTGTGCATAATTTACAGGTACACGTGACATTATCGTTGTATTACCCATGCACTGTCACGCATGTTCCTAATGCTGTGGGTAACATTACGAGTTGTTAAATGCATCTTAACCAATCAGATTTCAGTATTTAACATGAAAGTGTATGTTAAATATATAATTACAGCTTGTATGTAAATAATCAACTCTGCATACTGTACTATCTGTTTGCATTTTACCTTGTTTATATTAACAATGTCATCTGCAAATTTGTCAAAAAAATTTCCAAGTTTGATATTTGTTGATGAGGATCCCCTACCCTAACCCCGATGTACAGGTTCATTCCAAAGACTATTTCTACCCAGTAGCTATTAATAGCTACGTAGGTACTTAAACCTACCCAAAGTAGCTATTTTTACCTACTTTTTGCAATACTTGCATTTTGTGGCCAAACGGCTGAACGGCGCAACATGGTGAGAATCAAATTTCTTGATACAGTCACACTGATGATGAATTCCACAAAATTTGGGCCAATGAATAAATGATTACATCGTAAATAACAATTTTGCATAAATTACTATGAAAAATTGATAATTTATGAAGTAATCATTTTTTGGTCAATATTTTGTGGCATTCATCATCAGTGTGACTGTATCAAGAAATTTGGTACTCATCATGTTGCGCCGTTCAGCCGTTGGGTCAAAAAATGCAATGAAAGATATGGAGATAACGAACAGTATTCAAGCTCAAAAGTTCATTAAACAATACAAAATAGGAGCAGAGCAAACACGGACCTCTGAACATCAGAGGTGGGATCAGGTGCCATGGAGGAGTGAGCATCCCTGCCGACCGGTCACACCTGCCATGTGCTCCTTGTCAAGATCGGAAAAATCCGTCGACAATTCAGTGTGTAAATAATGGCCTAACAATTAGTATGAAAAAGGTCAGTCAGCTTTTGACTCAATGATAAATTGTATTTGCTGACAAGGTCATTGTATCGACCATAGAACTTACGAAATGACGACTTTAAACAAAACAGCTGATATTCTTGTTTCATCAACTTGTTCGTCAATAATTTACCTCGTTTTAGAAACTGTACATACGTAGAGCATGCTCTTGCGTATCGAATCAACTGAGAGATATATACCCCGTATGCAGGTGATGAAGGTATATTGCTGCATAAGTAAGGGAAGTTGACGATTGAAAAGTTAAAGTCATCACATTTATCATATGGCTTGGTTGTTAGATTACCATTAACTCTTTTTCAAGTAAAATATCCAAATATGAAACAGATGTGTCAGACTCTGTGGTATCTTTTATCTCAAGCTCACCAGAATATATCGTATCGACATAAGAATGGAAATAGCCATTGTAAATTGACAATACATCGTTGATATATCTAATAGGGCTGTGTACTGAGCAAAATATTTCGATATGATACGATACGACATTTTATAAAGCAATATGCGATATATTGGATTATTTATTAAGTTTATCAAAAATGTCTTGTAAATGACATTTAATGCATAAATTTGATAAAAACTTGGTGAGTCTAACATAACATATTAAAATAGAGTTGTCTATGTATTTTGTAATTAGTTATTTAAGATGTGCTATCTCATTAATGTTTATTTCATTATTGACCAGATTTAATTCAGTTGAAAATAATCTTTGGTAACTGAAATTCCCAACTTTTTCACAGAATTAAAAGAAAAAATGTCTGCCCGATACGTATTGGAAGTTATTTTTTCGATACGATACATTCCTAAATATCGATACGTATTGAATATTCAATATATTGACACAGCCCTAATATCTAAATGTCGAGTTGAAGGCCACAAGCAAGTGTTTTCTTCTTTTCACATACAAGATTTTGGACAAATTCTGCTTCATATGAATACAAAAAAAGGTCTGCTAATAACGGGGCACAATTGGTACCCATGGCAATTCCAATAGATTGTTGGAAGACCTGGTCTCCCAAAACCACATAGATATTGTCAATCAGAAACTCAAGCATCTTTTTAATGTCAACTTCAGAGTACTTGTGTGTACAATCAGAATGTTTTTTAACAAAATAATTTTGAAAATGACCAATGACAAGGTAAGTATATTTATGAGTTCCATTTTTATTGAAAAAGCAGCTGTCAATTATATCAAAAAGCCTGGACTTCAATTTATCTTGGGGAATGGTTGTGTATAAAGTAGAAAAGTCATAAGTTTTTAAGCTGTTGATTTTGGTAAAATCTTGCGATTTCAAATTTTCCAAAAGTTCCTTGGAATTTTTAAGTATCCACATCTGATTTACACCACTTCTCAAATATATTGTTGCACAGTACTCTTGAAGTTTCTCCTTCACCGTTAATATCTTAGTGAGGAGTAAAGAAAGAGGCTTGGTTGAACATTTACTGGAACCCGCTATGTATCTTTGTTTGTAAGGATTTTTATGAAGTTTCGGAATCCAATATAAATATGGTAATTCAAATTCATTTTGTCGTTGGAATATAAAAATATTTAAAACTGACATATGATTTTGAAGAATTTCTTCCTTAGAAAGGGAACTACAAGTATAAGTTGGATTACCACTTGTAGAATTAAATCCAAGTTCCTCTAAAATACATTTAATATAATGAGCCTTACAAACAAAGACAATGTTGTTACCTGCTTTGTCAGCAGGGACCAGTACGTACTGATCATGTAATCTATCTAATTCTTTTTTCACTTCTGGATTATCGAATACAGAAGGATAGATGGTTCTCATATTGCCCCTCAATCTTTTAATGCGTGATTTTAACATACATCTGACACTTTTAATCCATTCTGATAAAGTAATGCAAAAAGTAGGTAAAAATAGCTACTTTGGGTAGGTTTTAATACCTACATAGCTCTTAATAGCTACATAGGTAGAAACAGTCTTTGGACTGGACCTGATGTAACCCTGTTTTTTCAGGGTTATTCTGGGTTTTTCCCCTTAACCCCTGAAAAAAAATTCTGGATGTATGCCAGGCCAGGATGATCTTTCATTATTCAATTTGATCGGAAATTGAGCTACAGTAAAACTCAATATAAATTTATATATTGTGAGCAATTCACACATAATAAGAATATCTCAACATCCATTCCCACTCATTGTATGTTCGTTCACCCTAAAATTCGTTCACCCTTGATGCCGTTCGCCCTAATTCTTGTTCGCCCAGAGTCCAATCGCCCTAAAACTTGTTCGCACAAAGTCTGTTCGCCCTATTTATATTGCAGAAAGTTGAATAATGAACAAATGGATTTTTTTCAATAAATTATATGTACACTGGTACATAAATTGCACATAGACAACAGACGTATGCATATGGTCACACTAAATACCTGTCCTTTCAAATTTTCATTTTCTTTCTTCTTATATATATCATTTTTAGATCTAAGGTTTGGATTTTACTTATCAATCTTCAAAGGTAAAACCTTGCTCATCTGCTGCTCAGCTCCATAATGGGCCTATTAACGTCTCAGTCCTTTAATTGTTTTCAAAACATAACGCAGATCGTAAAAAAAAAAAAAAAAAAAAAAAAAAAAAACACTGATATGAACCTCCAAATTACAATGACATTATTAAGTATAATCAAACCAATTAAGCATGTAAAAAGCATTAATATCAAATTTGAATTATTTAAGATTATATTAAAAAAAATTACTGTAGCAACATTTGGGGGAAACAACACCCAAGTCGTAAAATATTGAATTAAATTAATAATAAATGTCAATATTTGCTATATACTGTATATACATTAGGGCGAACGAGATATAGGGCGAACAAGAATTATGGCGAACGGACTCATGCGAACAGGTAGATAGGACGAATGTACCCGATACCCTCATTACCGGAAGTCTTTAATTTTTCACCAAAATGTCACATTCTCTACCATCGGCTCATTCATTCACCTCTATCGTTGGCTCGCATATATCACAGTGATAAACACGAGAAATAGTGCGTTTGTCTAAATTCATTATAATTAAATGCCTGCACTAATGTTTCTCTTTTAAGGTAGATATTTACTAGATATATCTAGAACTATTAATTTAATTTGAAATAATCCTTGGAATGTCATGTTTTTTACGTTATATCAAAAATATTGACGCGAGCCCATCGCAGAGGTGTCTGAGAGAGAAACGAACGACAACTCTGTGAGGGAGATTGAAAATGTCAATATAGTCATATACATGTCAATATTTATTTAAGCAGTTTCACTTATAAAATTTGACAAATGGTACCTAATATACACGTGCATACATGCAAACAAATATTTCACAATACATGTACCGGCCTAATGTATCTCTCAGTATTGCTGCAGGACAAAGATGGCGGCAAGAATGTTCGAGTATTCGCCGCGAGAATTGTTTTCCACAATAAGGTCATATGAAGTAACAAAAATGAATATTACAACTTCAATAAACTAACCTCATCTCGTAGTTATCTTCTTCTGTGCACGTTGTCTTGAAGAAATGCAGTGAAAGCGCTGAGTAGATGCAATTGCAAAAGCAATGACAGTAACTGATGTGACAATATGGAATTCTCAAATCAGTCTGACCTTATGACCCATGTCACGTGATCAAGGTTAGACAGTGGAGAGCAGAAATTTCTGAAAATTCTCCTGTTTCTTTACTAATAGGAACTAAAACTTTGTAAGAAGACTTAATTGAAACGTGAAGAAGGCCATGAGAACGCGCCGGGGGTGGGAGGGGGCATGGTCCCCACTTTTTCTGAGTATAGTAAAATTTTTATTTAAATACTGGTTGCCCCCACCCATCCCCGCCCTACCCCCTACCCCAGTTTTTGATGTCGAACACTGGGAAATTTCAAGATTTGGACTGTAAATTAGCTCTCATTTTTATGTTTATTTTATTTTATTTTATTTATTTATTTTTTTTTTTTTTTTTGCTTGTCAGATTCTTTGGCATTTTGCCCCCCCCCCTTTTGAAACCGTTGCTACAGGCCTGTGAAGAAACGTGCGATGTAATCTAATCCCCTCCAAAAAAAAACTCGAATCCACCCCTCCCCAATGAACTCCATATAATTTTTTATATGACAATACGCGAAATCTTAATACACTTAGTTGTTGCATTACTAAATGTAACAGGAGATTAATTATACCTGATATACCAGGCACGGGGTAAGGGGGGTCCGGCAGGGGGTGTGCACTGGTTCCCATTTTTTTTTTCTAAACATATAATTAACTTACTATTGGAAATGTTCATTGAAAGGCACACTTTTTGTTGTAGCATAGTTAAATCATGGCAATTTGGAAATGTATTAATAAATATCGATTAAAAATCGAAGTTGCAACCTACACAGCCACCAAGCTTTGCTATCGTCAAAATAGAAATGGCCTATAGCTATAATTGTTTATTAGGACTAAAGTCAGGAACAGAATTCATATATATCCACAAACTGGTTTTGCAGTGAAATTTAATTTCCTGTTTCCCTTTCAATCATTGAAGTCCTCAATTGATTTTGAGGTCAAAATTCATATACTGCATAAAATCATTGAAATGCACGGTTTTCTGAAAATGGCTTTAACGAGACTTTGCAATAAGATTTCTAAAAGACAATTATAAAAGACTTTATTTTCTCACTTGACCCCATAATCATTAGCTAATCTATAGAATGGTTTTCAGCAAGTTATTTTTCTTAAAGATCTTGAATTTTTCGTCATACATTCCCATGGCTAAAAAAGACTGATTTCGACACCAATTAAGACACTGCATGCTTAGTTTTCAGAGACTGACGTTCTTTTCGTAGATCTTTTGCAATGAAACAAGTTGATGTTCTAATGTTCTTGAGGCAAGAGGTGAATGACGAAGTTTTTTTTTCTTCCAATCTCCATTTTTGGTCTTCCATCATAGACGAATCTAGAGGAGGAGGAGTTAAAAAGCTTCGGACCCCTTGGGATTATCAGTACACTATAACAAAGTACCTTCAAAGTATGATTAACAAACAATAGAACTTAAGTCTTTTCTTCATCATTTTCCTCATTAAATGGTATTGTACGGCTACATTTCAAGTACATGTATATTTAGATGGATATAAGACATTTTTTTCAAGCACTTAAATTTATTATTAACTATTCACAATTTTGTTTGGAAATAGTGCATATTACATAGAAAGTTCCATTTGATAAAAAGAAAAAAGCTCTAGTAGGAATATATTATTATTAATTTTTGCACACTTTGCCATAACACTCCTTTTCAATGCAGAAGTGAAGATGTAACTAACAGTGATCGATCTCAAAAAAATTCTTTAAACAATACATATCTGTGAACAAGGCATAAAACACGAACCCCAGGTGGGACCAGGTGCCTAAGGGGAGTAAGCATCCCCTGTTGACCCGTCACACCCGCCGTTGGCACTGTGTATTGATCAGGTAGATGGAACATTCCGTAGTTCATTCATTCATTTATTCAGTCATTCTTTATTTCCTCCGAATGGGGAGACTCAAATGCAGTATTACAACGCACGGTTAAACATATTTACAACATATTTGAAGAAAGTTAGACAAAAAGGAAAATAATCAAAAAGATTTACATGAAAAAAAAAGTTACACAGAAGTAAAAAATCAGGCAAAACAAATTAATAATACTCGTATAGTCCAGTTTACTAAGAATAAATAACTCTGTAGAAGTGAACGTAGAAAACCAAAGGCCTAACAATTGGTATGAAACACGTCAGCCAACATTTACAATATGCTGATGCACGTCAGCCAACATTTACAATATACTGATGCTGATGCCCTCGGGATTTTCATTTCTCACAGGTTTTCTATAAATTAATTTAGTTTCACGCATGTCTGGAAAAAGCATTCATAAATTGAATTTAATACAAATCAACCATTAGAATTTTTTAAAGGCAAGGTTAGGTTAGACATAGCATTAACACTTTGATTTGTATTCAAGTAAATGTATGGTACATGTATTTTAGACCTTGTGCAGTGTGTAAAAATAAGACCTGAGATATACAATTCTTTGTCAGTTTTAAAATCTGTTTGGTTGGAAAAACACATGGATATACATACAAGTATGTATAGTATTGACGAGAATTTCTAGTTGGATATAAAGATAATCTTATTTCATTCATTTTTTTTTTAATTCAGTAAAATAGATAATAAAAAAAAGTTGCAACAGGTCATGAAAAAATCTATCAAAAAATCAATCAACAAGTATCAATAAGTAAAATAAAATTTACATGTATAACCAAAAAATGGTCAATGCTAAAAATAATCAATACAAGGGTGAAAAATAACTGTTCCTACCACCTGCCTGCAACAAAAGGCAATCCCTCCTAAAGGTACCCCATCATTAACAACAGACCCATGGGCCACAATACTCACCCGAGCGACTCAGGTCTTGCTGTTCTTCACGGGCAGAATAATTTCCCTTTTTAATTTCATAAAAAATTGAGTCCATATAGGGGACCGAAATTCTAGCCCTAAGGAGACAAAGATTTAATCAACGTTATTATCAGAATTTGAAATAGTTGCAGATATTATGAAACATGCACATAAATCAAAAGCACATTGAGACGAAGTATGAATAAATAATCAAGTTTTTTTTATTAAGACCGTTCCTTTATGGTTTCTGGGATTTCTTGGAATTTTTTATACGCAGTAAGGTTAAAATTGCTTGCACATGCATTTCCACTTTTGTTTCAGTTTGCCATAAAATGCATGTAAATTACTTGATCTGTGAATTGTACTGAAAATTTACTAAAAAATATTTAAAAACTTAACGTAATTTTTCTTATTCAAATTGTATTCAGTTGTTTTCTAGACTTACTTTTGCTCTTATAAATTCCGCGTCTTAGTTTTTAATGATACTTTGCATGTAAACTTAAAATCAACGGAACTTCATAGACCGCAACATCCCTCTCTTTCTCTCTCTCTCTCTCTCTCTCTCTCATGTACCAATGTAAGGGGAAAATAATGAAAAATCTTCTTTAAAACAAAAATACTGTAATGGTTTAGGCCGAGGATATCAGCTTGGATAGCTCAGTTGGTAGAGCACCTGAAGCAGGGGTCCCGGGCTCGATTTCCGGTCCATCCCGGTCCATCCATACATTTTCTCCTTTCTTGTTGCATAATTTTTTGCCATGACCACCCTAAAGTCCTGCCAGGGGCAAATAAGAAGATTGTTTCTTCGACGGCGAAGACTATTTAAGGAGGGAGGAATGTAATGGTTTGGGCTGTGGATATTGGCCCGGGTAGCTCAGTCGGTAGAACCCCTGACTAGTGATGCAGGGGTCACGGGTTCGATTCCCGGTCCAGCCATACATTTTCTCCTTTATTCTTGCATTTGATAAATTTCAACATAGTGTAAATTAAAATTGATACATGTAGATTTATGTCTTAATTAAAGAGAGATCATTTTATTCGACACATTACAAGAAATAATGCGAGTTTCAATTAATATGTTTTTTTTAACTTTGAAGACAAAGTTTCAGTTGAGACCAAGATGATCACTTTAACTCAGCTGAGCATTTTGGCCCGCTGGTCAGTTGATTTATAATTCTTTTTTTAATACACTCTTAGTAAAATCTACATGGTATCACTATTTTACGGGGGTCATTTTTATTCCCCTAGGGTCTGCATTTTTAAGGGTGATGAGACTTTTTCTACAGGCAAAGGGATAAATTTTCGAAGAATGACCGGAGGTGAACAAGAGGCCCATAGTAAACAACTCTCACCTGAGGAACAACGGCCATTTTGTTCTTTATCAGCATTTCCCCCATGTATATACAGTTATATAAAACTCTGATTACATATTATGGCCCCACCCTACCCAGGGGGGGTCATGATTTTAGCAAATTTCAATCTACACTACCTAACGATGCTTCTTTACAAAAATGACTAATTATGAATTTGCTGTTCTTGATAAATATTTTAACATTTTTTTTCAATATATTCCTATGTATTGTATAATTTTGATCCCCTATTGTGGTCCAGTCCTTTCCCCTGGGGTCATGTTTTGAACAAATTAAAGATTGAACAAACTTAAATCTACAGTATGTAGCACTTGAAGCTTTCATGTAAGTTTCACCTTTTCTTGCAAAGTAGTTCTTGAAAAGATTTTTTTTGAAAAGCTGCCACCAAAATTTTCACGAATTCTTAACTATCTCTCTTTGAAACAGGGCGTTGTACCCCTTGTAAACAAATTAACTTATATCCTCTTCATGGAAGAATGCTTTGTGGTAAGTTTTGGTTGAAATTGGCCCATTTGTTCTTTGGCTCAGGTGACCTAATAAGGGGGAAATTAAAAGGTATTCTAGTTAAGTTAGTTTAAGGGCTAATCATAACAGCATCCATTTTTCAAGGTTCATAAACCCTCTGCTCACTCATATAAAATGTTGTCTTAACTTTTATGATTTTCCGAAAGAAAAGTATTTTATAAGTAAAATACAAACTATCATACCATAGCTTGTGGGGCAAAATTAAACAAAAAAGACATTTCAACTTGACAAATCTATAAAGAAATAATAGGCATTTATGTCACTAA